ATGATTTTGAACAAAAATTTGAACAGATTAACCATAAAAATATAAAGATACTGTAAATATTTATTGAAACATGTATGTATAGGCATATGTGCATGGGTTACACAGAAGAACTTAATTGCAGTATTTTTGGTGAACATCAGCCACTATTCAGCTATATTTATGAGGTTCTTTAAAAAAAAAGTCACCATAGAACAGATATGATGTGTAGTTACTGCTCTTTGGAGTGCTTTGAAGGGCTTTATATTTAAAGTTCCTTAATTTATTTCATTTAATATAGAATATTTTTTTAATTCTTGTGCTGATCATGTTATAAATTATCTCAGAATGTTTGGGACTTGTTAAATGGAGGACGAATTTTTAAACTTCACTGATCTGTTCATCAGTAGAAGTGACTATGAGATTGAGCAAGGAGACTTAGGTTATACATTCATCTGCTGTAATGCCACTTAGAAATAATTTCAGTTACCCAAGACTGGCAACCCCATTCTGTGTAAAATTCCTAAATCAAGTCACTTCAATTCTAGCAGTGAGTCTTTCAAATAAGCTGCTATCCCCTAGGATATACAACTATGTGAACAAGTACAGAGAGTCAAGAAAGCCCTGTGACTGAACCCATGTCAACAGGGCACCGAGCCATAAATAGAGCTCTAGCAAAAATACTGCTGGAGCTCAGTGCTCCACCAAAGCACTTACATGGCTTCTGGACTATTGGTGGCTCGGGTTGAGGAAGGCCAGAAGATGTGTGGCTTTCAGACCCGCTTCGAAGCAGCACGCACAAAAGCAGATGAGGACAGGCTTTTCAACAATCCCGGGAGGACCAGAGAGTGTGAGAGGCCAAAACTATTTTAGTGCTTTGTAAACAGAGCAAAAATGAAAGTCATCACAGTAGGATGAACATATGGTCGCATTGGGGTTAATGACTGAATTTCACATAATTTGATGGTCGGGGAGGTTACTGGCACAAGGTGATGTTTGTGTTGCATGACCCAAGCACTATGGAATTACTTAGCTATAGCATACCATTTTAATGCTCATGATTCTTAAAGCTTTATTTAATTATATTTTTTTTTCAGTGCCCTGTTTTTCCAGTTGTCAACTGAATTGTGTGATTGATAATTAACAAAATTCTTCTCTTAAATATACCCAGTGGCATCACTTTGGTTTTACAGATATTGTACGATAGCTTGTGCAATAAAAAATCTGCCTTCTTTTGGCAAGGAATCTGACACATATAAAAATTGATGTTCTGAAGTCTTTCACCAGTATTTATACACAGAATACCAAATACCAGCACATCAAAAGCCTGTAATCTAATACAATAAATTGCAGTTGTACTATCAATCTTTTGGTAGAAGCACTTATTGCGCAGCTAGATATCATTTAAGAGTTTGTTATGGACCCAAGTGACTCACATACAATTTAAAGCTGCACATAATCTCTAAAGTAATAGAACAGGAGAATGAACATAGTGTTTAGGTATAGAATGAGTAATATATATTGTCAAAAGTAGGTTATTTACATAGAAATAAACTATAGTTAAAAATATGTATTGGCTTAAGAGAACTGCAATATAAAAAGGAAGTAATACATGGCACTTTACATTATAGTAACTGAATTATAAATCGCTTTCATTGCTCATCAATATAAAATGAAAAGGAAGAGAGGAATTTTTTTGAAAGAATAAAGAAACTGAGTGTTTTACGTTAGTTACCATGTAATCTTAGTTGTATTACTACTCATTACAAAATACTTCTGCACGGGAAATCCAAGAGGTACGAACTTTTGATGAAGTAAATGTGGAAATGGTAGTTTTACTAGACCACCTACAATAGCTGGAGAAAGCAGAGAAAATTTGTTTGGGCACAACTTTGTTCTGGGCAAACAAATCCTCTTCTGTGTCTGTTATCACCAGCAGACTTCCAAGGTTTGCTTCAAATTCCAACAATTGCTCTTAGTAGCATATTCAAGTGGTCTAATAAAAATATAAACCCCACTTACACACCTTACCTTGTCTTTTCACCACCCAGCTGTGAGAACTCTACTGCTAAAGTTCTATACAGGTAGGTGACTTCCATGGGAAAAAAAATAATAGATTTCCTAAGTATTTCGGAACGCAAGCTTATCAGAAAATAAATGAATGGCAGTACGACTAAGGGAAAAAAAAATAATGGATTTCCTAAGTATTTCGGAAAGCAAGCTTATCAGAAAATAAATGAATGGCAGTACGACTAAAAGCTTGTGGCTCTTCCTAGAATTAGGCTTATGATCTACAAGGAGTAATGAATGGATTAGAAAACAAGTTTTGTATAGCTCTAAAGATATGAGACAAGCTTCTGCATAGGCTCTCAGCTTTATGTTATATCCTCCTTTATGTCAGCTGGTTTTGCACATAGATCAAGTTGCATGACCTTCAGTACTGACACATGTCTCAGCCCTGTGACATCTTCTGAGCTTTGCTTCTGCCTTTCTCTAGAGGCCAGAGACAGCTTTGCTAATATTGATAAAGCTTCAATAAAAACTTTTGGGGGAAATTATCCAGAGTATCCCAATTTATATTTACAATTAAATGACAAATAGCAGGTGTATCCAGTGAGATTGTACTGGATTTTGTTTTGCTTGCCCACTTGGAAAGGCTGCCTCAACCCCCCTTCCTCTGTCACCACCAGGTCCCTACCCTATCCACATCCTCTCCTCATTCTGAAGGTATATTGTTTTCTTTACCTTTTCCAGGGAACATCTGTTCCCAAGGAACATCTACACAATTAAAAAAGATAGTGATACTTCAGCCATTTACACTCTCCAAGGCAAACTGCATATTAAAGCTTCTTAAAATTTTTTTATTGCTTATATTTCCAAAATAAGATTAATTAATGATATAATCACTCAGAATTTTGCAATCACTTTTGTTACTGACCTCTAAAGGAACTGAACTTATTAACGAAAGACTGAAATAGCTGCAAATGAATTCAATGCTGAGCTCCTCTTTTGTCCCTTCGTTCCTTTCCACCACCCTCGTCCTTTGTTATGTTGTCACATGTCACAAATATGTGTTACCACAATTGTTTCAAGGTCACATGTTTCAATAGCCAATATTAGTGTAGTTTCCAGGTAGTAAATTAAATGAGATCATTTACCCCTGGTTGAGGATGTAGCTCAATATCAAGGGATATTTTCTGTTACAAGCAACTAGAGTCTGTATAAACATAAACCCTTTCCATCCATTTGAACAAATATACAGTGTTATATTTACAGAAGAAGTATTGTGATTATCAAAACACAGTAATTGGCATTCCCATAAAAACTTGATAAATCTAATAAAAAACTAAAATGTGAAAAGAAAAAAGTAGTCAAATGATTGGATGACCGGTGACCGGTGTTTAAATTATGTCACATGGCACATCATTAAACATGAAATGTAGCTAATATATCCAAAGTCATACAGTTGTTAAATCTTTTAAAATAATAGTATAAATATCTAACTATTGCACAATACTTGCAAAGTTGGGATTTTTTTGGTTAAAATCTGCTTTCCAGATCAACCACCAATCATAACACATATCCACAATGCTTATGTTTTCATCCCTTTATACAAAATAAAATTTCATTGTTGTTCATACTACATCATGTATTCTGTATAGAATAATCTAGAAAAATATTTCCTTGGTATTGATAAAAATGACCTACAACGTCACAGTTCAGTTAGTATAAAATGTCATTTTAAGGTAATTCCACCCAAGATATCTACCATTAAGGAATAAGATAGTGATAAGAAGGAATAAGGAAGTAATACATACAAGGTAAATTTAAGAAAAACACAAGGATCAGATATTCAACAAAAAAGACAATCCTACAAAACACAGAAATCTGTAGTCTGTTTTACATTCTCCTGGCTTAAAACTTTTCTGAGGCAAGAAGATTTACAGCTCCAGAACACACAGAACCCTTTAAATAGTATCCCACCTATAACCAGGTACACAGTCTCTCCAGAGAATCTGATATGAAGAGGAATGAGACACTACAGTCATTGCATCACATGAACTTTCTAGGTGTGGAAACACTAAATCAACCAAGACACCAAGGAACCTAGAAGGTTATTTCTAATCTAACTAGTTAGTGAAGTACGACCATGCAAATTGCATTTCTGATTTATACCGAGAGTAGGCACACACTGACAAATGCTTAAGATTAATAATACTGCATTATTCATCACATGTAACACAGGTTTACTGGCTTTTAATGACCAGCTTCTTATAATAAAATATATATTTACATGATGTCTGTGAACAAGTATCCTCATAGCAAAACCTGGTGTTTATTTTTACTGGAAAAGTCTTGACCCTACTGCACATGTTCCCTCCAGGAGAAAGAAAGTAAACATGGCTGATATTCGTTAGATAAAGAAACAAAAAAGAGTAAAAAATTCTGAAATAAACCCCACACTTCTCTTTGGCGTTCATTCTTCCTCGTTCCTTTGTCCAATTCTTGTCTCAGATACAATCAAAGCGATTAATATGCAAGGAAAATCTCAGGGCAAATGTGATCAGCTGATAGCAGAGACTTGCTGAAGTCAGTGCTATTCAGATTTAAAACTTACATCAAGCTGTAGACTGGCCCTGGACAGATTATTTCCAGAGAGTCTCTGTTGAACAACATCATGCTTTTTGCTGTGTCTGGTGGTTTAGACTACAATTCTTTGAGAACAGAAAAATGCATACCTCAAAACGTGGCTGTTATTTCATCCTGAATGCTTTCTACAACTGTAGCCTCCTTTATCACTGCCAAAGTTTTACATCTCTCACAAAACCAGGAGACAAACTTTAAAAAAAGGTCAGCCTGTACTTTAGGATAATTCTCCTTACCTTGTTATCCATGAAATATTTACTTTAAAAGTATACCTACCTCATGTTATCAGTGCAAAAAGATTTACATTTATTTGCATTGCTTATACATACATTACAGTATACCGATGGCATTAAAAAATAAAGAAAAGCATGTAATACCTTTACTTTTACCTATGGATTTGGTGAAATGGTTCCATGAAGAAAGCATTTCCAGACAAAAAGAGAATAAAGAAGAGGAGAGAAACAACAGTAAGAGTCATGAGTATATGTAAATGCAATAGTATCTGAACATGAAGAGACAAAGTATAAGGTAAGTGTCTGGAGACAAATGGAGATGCAACCAGTGTCGTATTAGGGATTTAGTTTATTTTTTTTCCAACCATGTACATGCAGAGAAACACAGAAATAACCCATGCTTAGATAAGAAAGAGTGACACAAAAGTAACATGGACAATAGGTTAGGAGGAAAAAAAAAAAATCACTGATTTCGTTAGGTTGTAAAATTGTACTCTCAGCATTCCAGAAGCCTGACTGATTTCGTTATGTAGTAAAATTGTACTCTCAGCATTCCAGAAGCCAGGAGCAGGTGCTTTCTGCACATTTCCAATCAGCCATGCATTAATGTAAATGGACTCTTCAATGTGTACAATGTGACAAGCTGAGTATCTTCTTTGAGGAGCTACCTGAAGAGTGCTCTTGTGCTTCGTTTATCGTTTATAGAATCACCCATAATTTTACTTTCTGATAAATACATTAAATTTTCTTAATCACCTTCTTATTTCTCTCACCTCTTCAGTTATTGTATTGCAAGAGGGGGAATTGAGGAGGCAGGACGGACAAAAGCTTACGGAGCAAACAAAAAAAAAAATTAATGAAATAAGAAAAGATGTGACTAAAACCATGTGTTTATTTGCAGCCAAAGACAGCTTTCAAGCATTTGCCCATCATTTGCAGTGATGGATTCAAAGCAGCTACAGAACAAGAAGAAACAATGAAAGCAGAGTGGAAAAGGAACAGAGCCCATACCTTGGTCGCCCATCATCAGGTGCGCCAGACCTTGAAGGGAAACAAGAGCACAGTCAGCAATAAACAAGGGAGCACGGGAAGGTGGTGTTGTCACAGTGACAAAAATGTTTTGTGACAGGCATCTGTTTCCTATGAGATGTCTGTATCACAGAGGGAAATCAAAGAGCATTTTTCAACCACTGGTTGGAATGCTTTGGGCTACAAGTAACAGAACTGCAATTCAAACACTGGGTGCTGTTTTATTGTGTATTTCTTCTGTGCAGTAGTTGGGATGACAGAAAATAATAAAATGCTTCCAAATCCAACCAGCTCCTTTAATCTGTCTTTATCGTATTCTGATTATATTGCTTTGAACACTTTGCTGGGAGGACTTCCTGTCCTCTACATGTGAAATGACGATAAAAACCTGGAGAAGTGTAAACCTGAAAAATGGGCTGGGTCTGATCTTTTTCCCCTCGTAAAAATGAGCATTTCAGGTAATTAAATAAAATTTCTTCATCACATTGAAATGATAATGCAAGGGATGTCTCTTTATTTGTGTGAAATGTGACAGTAGAATGGATTTGTTCCAGAGAAGGCAAATTATTACATATGTAATATAAAATACATAGCAATAAAGAAAATTTAAGTGACAGCTTCTGCAGCTACTTCATAAATCTGTGAGAAATAGATTTTGCTTTATATTTGTATTGTGAGATGAAATCCAATCATACCAGTATAGGTCTAGTGACATTTCAAAACAGACGTCCATAACAATAATCACTCAACCAGAGCCAAACTTCATTACTCTTTAACCAAAAATATTCAGGTTTTTTAATTCATTATATTAAAATGATGCTTATATTGTCACTGAGAATAATGTGATGTAGGGTGAGCATTTTTCTAGAAATATGAAGGTTTTTCCACATTTTACATCTGGATTAAAAAATGGGCTTATTCTTGTTGAACTTTGCTATTTAGGATCCATTTTAGAAGTTACTAATTGCTCATGCGTTAAATGTGCTCCTCTTCTCCAACAACTATAAAACGTGATACATTATTTTCAAATTTGCAATTAATTAAAATTAATTCACACAAAGAAGGTGTGCAATAAAAAATCCTTCTCTTTATTGGAAAGCAGACTTCCTAGAGAGTTCCTGTGATTTCTAATTCACAAAGAAAATTCGGTGCACAAATGACTCACAGTACTTGGGGGGAGTTCAAAGAAGGAACTCCTGCCTGCAATCAGCCTGAAAGGATTCATATCTTATCAGTTCCAAATCGCAACTGATGTTACAAATAGACTAACAATGGTTTTGCTGAATTAGTGCTTTTAATGTCTATGCTTTTTTAGAAGTGTGGTTAAACTAAAGGGCCTGATGTGCCCCATCTCTTGTGCAATAGATTCTGTTTCCTAATACACCACCTTGCAGCTGGTGGGATTACCTGGGGCTGATGGCAATGTAAATGAAAGCTGATTGTGATCTTGAAGGGATGCCTACACAAGCATTGCTGGGGAAACATCACACAGCTGGGCTGCAGTTTGCAGCTTCTGAAACAGAGTAGAAATGTTTTCACGTGTGTTCTTTCTCTGCAAGCATTGCTGCAAGAGAGGCACACTGAATACACAAACTATACAGATCTATACTCAAGCTTCATTCTTTTAATGCCTTGCTTGGATCCTTTGATGTGTGGCCTTCTGGAAGCGTGATTATTTAACTTGGCTTTTGGCTTTTAAGTTTTTGTGTTGGCAGCTGTAGTAAGAAATCTCAGACTTTTGACTTGGCCTTAACTGTACTGGATAGAGGGAAGGTGAAACTAGTCAAATGTTACATCTTTTTCTTTAATAAAATTGTGACTTTTCAGCAGCTACTTTATATAACCTCTTTCAGCTTTTAGAAGGCATGAAGCAAATCTCTCTCATGTCTCCTAGGGGAATGCAAAGAAGATAAACTCTTACTAGCTTGCATTTAAATATGATCTTTATAGCTATAAGGACCTAAACAAGAGGTCCAGGAGATTACCACTGCTTGATAGCTGCTATTTTTGCTGAAATGATATATAAGATTGGTCAATTGTAAAAACACAATTCTTATATAATTTGAAAAAAATGTAAATGGCAGAAGTGCCTCTTGAAAACATCATAGAAACCACTTGAATTTTAAGAGTCACTTACAGTGCTATTCAGCTAAAAAAAGGAAGTCAAATGAATGTTAAAAAAATACACTGCTCAAACCAAACATCTATCAATTAAAAAATTTAGTACTAGTCCTCAAAACACTGTATTAGGTTTGACTGTACATTACTTTATTTGTGAAGGAGTAAGGCTACTTATACTTACTGCTAAAAGCACATAATGATACTTACCTTATTTTATATTTTTGCAATCTACAGATGAAGGCTATGGAAGAGTGAAGAATTACTATGACTGCACCTGTGCAGTCCACAAAGTGGTTTAAAATGATACAGATACATCTACCGTGATAGCAATCCCTGCTGGATTTTTTAAATGACAATCTGCTTGTAATAGAGAATACCACAATGGATAGTCATGGAAAGTTCTAGCCTTAACTAGGCATGTACAGGCATACCATACATTGAAAATATTAATTTGTGCACCATTACTTCATAAACGGAGCGATAAAAGCCTTTTCTTTGTGAATTAGGAATTCAAGATTTAGTAGGAATGCTTCATGTGTGATCCACTCCCTTTATACCGAGCTTGGCTCTGAGAGGAGAGAATTAAGGGGCACAGAATGGGATAGTGGAAGCAGATATGAAGATAGGATATTTTCATAATTTGGTGTGTGAGTTCCATGCAGAGCACAGGCCAAAACAAAATTTAATCATGGTAAACCTGCGGTAAACACGTTCAACCCTAGCACAATTTTAGTAAAATTAATAAAACGTAGCCTTTTCATACCAGCAATATATACAAAATTAACTCTGTAAATACTAAATCCTTCTGTTTTCTTATGTAGCCTAACTTTCAGAGATGCTCAGATATCACAGAAATCAAAGACGAAAAATTATAGCTTGGTTTCCAAATCGTGCTTTGGACAGACCATTCTATGCTTCCATTCTTTACATACACATCCTTTGTAACTTCAATGTATGCATAAGTATCCAGACCTGTGCTGGAATAAATTTAAGGTTGCATTTTTAAGAATTAGATTCAGATAAAGTCTGGATTAACTGCTATCCGGGCTTTACCTTGTACTGCTGTGCATAAATGAATACACAAAGTGAAACTGAACCTCCTTATCTAGTTACACTGATCCTAATTCACATTTGAGACTCATGTTCACGTCAGTAAGAGTTTTATGGACAGATCAAGTATAAGATTAGGTACTTGTTTCTGGGGTTTTGTGTTTTCCAATTAGAATTCCTGTCCCAGTGTTGTTGAATGTGTTTTTATACCACAATGAAAAGGAAATTCTATTGATATGTTTGTGCGTGACAGTGCACACAATTAAAGCATGAGAATTGCTTAAATTTTATTTCTCCTACTGGTAACATAAATTTTACTGAAATGGCATGGGATTGTGTATGTGCTAGATCTGAGCACCTCTCTTTCCCTTGAATACAGTAGCCCAGAGGAAAGCAGTACCGATACTTCCAGGCTTTTTCAGAAGGTGTCACTGCACAGGCAGGCAGTGGCCCACGGTGACTTGAATCCTGGATGAACTCAGACCCCACAGTGGCTCACTACAGGACCCTGGGTCAGAGCTGGGCCAGGGCAGTGACTTTGCATATGACTTAGCTTGTAAAGTCCTTGATTTAAAAGTAGTTTTACAAGTATTGGAAAAAATAAAAACCAAGTTATCGCTCATTTTAGATAGATAAACTGATTTTTCAAATAGATGATCCAGTATGCAAAGATTCAGCCCAGAGAGACTTTTAAAAGCACTTGCACATAAAAAAGCACCTGCACCTTTTGGCTTATAGGGAAAAAGACAGTATTGATTCCCAGCAATAGCTGATATGTGAAGCACATTCTGTACCTTTAAAACTACAATGTATATGCACGCAACATGTTTTACCAGCTGATAGACTTACTTACCAATATTCAGGCTAGATGCCATTGTGCTTTAGTTTCCACTGCCCTGTGCCATACTTTCTTTAAAGGGACTTAATTACATACCAACATTATTATTAAAATCACATGCTGCTTCTTTCACAATGTCCAAAAAGATAGAGTGCATTATGGTAAAAGGGAGACAGAAAAACTTTTTTCCTAAATCTTTGTGTTGTAAAGGATATCACTGTAAGCAAGATCTGTAGTGTTGAAGAGAAAAGCGCTTTCCATTTTCCTAAGCAATTAAAAGATAGGTATTTAACATGCATTACATTCTTATGAGGAGGATTTATGTTCCACACTAATGAAACAAATCGTTTCTTGCAGTGTTTTGCATACAGAACATGAGAAGAAATCTGTGCTTCTGCACATTTCCCGAATGATTTTGAAGGATGATATCAGCCATATGAGTATAAATCCCATTGTTTCAGTGGGAATATTCTGGAATTGCACCAATAAGGCCAAGATTAAAATAACTCAGGCCCCACAGTGGCTCACTACAGGACCCTGGGTCAGAGCTGGGCCAGGGCAGTGACTTTGCATATGACTTAGCTTGTAAAGTCCTTGATTTAAAAGTAGTTTTACAAGTATTGGAAAAAATAAAAACCAAGTTATCGCTCATTTTAGATAGATAAACTGATTTTTCAAATAGATGATCCAGTATGCAAAGATTCAGCCCAGAGAGACTTTTAAAAGCACTTGCACATAAAAAAGCACCTGCACCTTTTGGCTTATAGGGAAAAAGACAGTATTGATTCCCAGCAATAGCTGATATGTGAAGCACATTCTGTACCTTTAAAACTACAATGTATATGCACGCAACATGTTTTACCAGCTGATAGACTTACTTACCAATATTCAGGCTAGATGCCATTGTGCTTTAGTTTCCACTGCCCTGTGCCATACTTTCTTTAAAGGGACTTAATTACATACCAACATTATTATTAAAATCACATGCTGCTTCTTTCACAATGTCCAAAAAGATAGAGTGCATTATGGTAAAAGGGAGACAGAAAAACTTTTTTCCTAAATCTTTGTGTTGTAAAGGATATCACTGTAAGCAAGATCTGTAGTGTTGAAGAGAAAAGCGCTTTCCATTTTCCTAAGCAATTAAAAGATAGGTATTTAACATGCATTACATTCTTATGAGGAGGATTTATGTTCCACACTAATGAAACAAATCGTTTCTTGCAGTGTTTTGCATACAGAACATGAGAAGAAATCTGTGCTTCTGCACATTTCCCGAATGATTTTGAAGGATGATATCAGCCATATGAGTATAAATCCCATTGTTTCAGTGGGAATATTCTGGAATTGCACCAATAAGGCCAAGATTAAAATGGAGCTTTGCTTGTGTTCTGTATGGAAAAAGAAATCACACTTATTTAATACGCTTGTATGCCTTTATGGGTAAAAAATGCAACTTACCGTACTGAATGATATGCGTACTTTTATAACATTAAGCAGAAGGGGGAAAAAAACCACTAAACAGAAGGGAAAAACAAGAGCTTAGGAAAATAAGGTAGAAAGCACCCACCTTCCACATAGTTGTCTTCTGTAAGCACATAACAGGGAAGGAGAGAAAAGGAAAACATTCATTAAGCAGCATGCAGACTGGAACTTGCCATTGCATGTCTTCATCATGCAAGGCATCAAACACAACATGCAAGTGCTCCATTGCTACAATCCAGAGGGAAAAACAAAAGCACCGGGGAAGCAGTGTTTCCTCTATTTAACAAAATTTACGTGATATGAAATAAAACAGTACTTTTTCAAAAGTGCAAAAAATCGTACAGGATTTACTGCAGCTCTTTGTAAGTTTAATTACTATTAGTCATTAATCAGAGGATATTCTTGTAAGACTTTTATAACTATATAAAGCCATCAGTCATTTGTGATAGGGATTCTAAGTTCATTTGCTTCTACTTTCCCATTCTGAATTTTCTTTAATGACCGGTATGAAATCGATGACCTTAAACAGATCGAAAAAGATAACGAGCTTTAGAATATGCTGTGAAGATGTTACCACGGGCAGCGTGGCTGATCCTGCACTCCCTCTGGTCATTCCGTCGTATCCCTGAATCCCGTGTGGAAAAACTGTCACTTAAAACGTGTGGAATAACTCAGAATTGTAGGATTATTTCCCACAGCATTTGTCAGCATCAGCAACTGGCACATCTTAAAAAATCGATCAATTCTCTGCCTGGTACAGCTAGCAAAGGCCACAGCAATCTCAGACATGGCTTCTGCCCCTGGATTAAAAAAGGCTTTTTGCCTAAGTAAAAGCTGCTATCAACAAGCAGTAATTTGGCCTTTTTATCCCCAACCCAACAACAAAATGGGACACAGAAAAGAAGGTTCCCCCAAAGCACTAGTGTCCTAATAGTACTCATGCTAGTCTCGATAGTCCTCAGCTCCTCCGCTAAGCAGGGGATTTGGAGGGAGTATGTCTCTGTTGCCCATGATGATTTTTCCTAAGGAGAGGATAAGACAGAGTAGAAAGATATCTCGGGGAGGGGGAGAGAAAATGGGAAAGGTAAAATAACAAAGGAAAAACAACACAGAAGTCAAGGAGATGGACTGTGTGAAACCAACAAAGAAACAAGGAAGGGTGACAACATGGCAGTCTGACTCCTGGGGAGATCTCTTCCTGCTCTCTGTCTGTCTCCACCAGCACTGCCTTGGGAGCAAGCACTCACAGACAATTGGAAAACGAAGCCCAGTTCAGTTATTCAAGGTCAATTCTCATGGAGTCTTCCTACAGGAAAATAGCTTTTCATGTGACTGTTAAGAAACGTGACCTAAACTAATTTGGATATATTGTAAACCAGAAGTCAGTAAAATGAGTTACACAGAACTGGGCTCGCTTCGGCGTAGAGATTTCCTGCCAGAATGTGTCACTTTCAGAATGAAAAGCCTTTGTAAGTTAATGCCACAAAATACTGGAAAATACTGAAAAATCTCATCATAACTAGACATTATTCCAATAAATGATTTGAAAAATTTACCACTTTAAAATTAATAGCTACTATAAATGCTGAATACTAAGGGCTTAAGTCTCTCAGGTTTTAGTTGTTATAGGTCAGACCAGATAAAGTTATTTGGCTTACGATATTACAAATCACCTTTTCCATTCACACACTCTAAATTTAGACTTCTAAAATTTCATTGCCTGAAATTTTAGTTTGCTATGAACCTGCAAAGGGTACATACTGTTTCGATGCATTGAGGAAAGCAAGAAGATGAAAAGAAAAAAAGAATATGAAAAGCAGTATGCCTGTTGTGACTAAATACCTGAAGATCAACAAATCCAATAAAGTTCGCTGGGAAAATGAAAACCACCCACTTTCACAAGATAAAGATATTATGTTCTATGTGCAGAGTAAATTACAGTGATATTTGGGCTATTAGAAATAGCTACTTACAGCTAAACTTTTCTGGAAGAGCCTTCTTCCTTCAACTGCATGTAGTAATTTCCTTTCTTTAAGTACAAAACCCTCCGATCTTAATGAAAAATAAATTATTTATTTCAATTGTAAGATAATTTCAGGCTCCTTCATCTATCCCTGGTTACTGCAGCGTTGGGATATTGTAATACCAGTGCTGCAATGATATCCTTTTTGGTGGCCATATTTAGCTTAAAACACGATTCCTTAAAAGCAACACGTCAACCTGCTAAAAGGCCAGTTCTGTTGCTCATGCTGTCAGTCAAAGGGAGAGTTCTGAAAATGACATCACAGGCAGCGTCAGATGGTTAAACTCATCTGGTTACAGGGTTTAGCATATTTTGGTTTATATCATGGGCCCTGTTCTTAGGTGTGTGTGGTGTGTGTTTTTTGATGACTCTATCACCAGAAGGATTTCCATTATCTGAGCGGCTTCCCCTAAATGGCTGATTGATTAAACTTTTAAGTGATAGTAAATTACACTGTCAAAACATTTTGAATTAAACAAATTCAAAGTGTTGAATTCCTGTTCTGTGAATAAAACAGTGTATATATCCAAACCCCTATACATTAGTAAACAACAATGAAAACTCATTCCTCCACATGTTTTTGTCATGGTAAGTTAAACCATCTTGAACAGTTTTGCAATCTAAGAAAAAAATTAGTTCAGCTTCTTCACAGTACTTTACAAGGTTTTTATGTTAGATTAGCATTGAGTACTATTAATTATGTAAGGTGGGGTTTTTGTGATGGCTGATATATTTCCATATCACTAACACTTTGCTTGTCTTTCCTGATTCCCATTTACTTGGCATGGCCTATTCTTCTAAGCAGACACTAAGAAGCACCCAAATTCTAACTTTGTTTTTTATTCATTTTGCTTATTCCAGTCACTCTTAATAAAAAACCAAAAAGGGGAAAATCTTTGAAAGCCATGTATACCATCAATATCTTAATTTTGCAATTTGGAGGGAATAAAATCTTCCTCAGGAAGAGGAGTAACTGTATTTATGTCATTACGGTTGCACTGGTGTAAAATTTGTGTACTAGGAAGAGAGTAGAGCCGTATTATACATTTGTGTCACTGCTGATAATTTAGACACTCATAGTCTGAATTTATCCACATTTACATCCACCCACCCTGGAGGACCTTATTGTCTACCGAGTATCTCTGTTGGCATCAGTGGAACCAGAAGCTTTCCAGACCCAAAGAGCCATCTCCTAGCTGCTGTGGGCATTGGCACAGGATGGCTCTTAGCCTTTTCCACGTCGGCCGATTGTACCAATGCTTTTCACCAAGGCACAGCCCAGGGATGAGACAAGGAGCTAAAAAGGACTCTCAATGCAACAGTGAAGGTGCAGAACAGCCTTACAGCCTCCACCAGCGACCGCACGACTGCCCAGAAAGGTAACATTCTCTTCAGCACTCTGACTTCTAGTAGATGTGAAAAGTCTGCTGTGTTGACATTGCACCGAGCTACTCACTTGAAGAACTACACAGGTCGTCATCCCTTGCAAACGCTTATTTCCTAGACCTTCCCCCACTCCCACCAATGATACTAAATTGCACGGCTAATTCCTGCATTTACAACCTAATTCCTTTGGCCAAATTGGGCTCTCAGTACTACTGGTGTAATCTGTCAACTGCACGTATCAAGCCAAATATTCAGTTGATTTAAATCTGGTGTGACACAGTTGAAATCGGTAGAACTCTACAACTTACACAGGCTGTGAATCTGGCTTATTATCTTCAGATGAATTATCTCAGGCTGTCCCCACTGAGCTGAGAGCAGAATCTGCTCTGCATTTTTTGCAGCAAAACCGATTCTATTTTAGCCTATTACTATGATTCAGTGGCATAATAATGGGAATCATATTTTTACAGGACATTTTTGTTAATTCAAGAATCATTTTAATATTTGGTGATGCTTCATGGAAACCTTGACTTTTTTAAAAAAGAAGTGACTGTTTATATGCTTTGTGGTTATTTCTGCTATTAATTTTTTTTTCCTCTGCTAGAATATTTACATCTTAGCCACACACAGAGCACAATATTTGTCCTGACAATTATATAAGAACAGTATTTTCATGATAAACAGATGAAATGGTACATTAGTATTTTGAAGTTACAGACTTACCATTCTAGAAATATCATAATAAGATACAGCACATGAGAAGTGGCACTTTAATAGGGTTTTTTTCCCTCATCAAAATTATAGTTACAAATCACATTTTGCAAAAATGAAGGGTAAAATATACCACAGATATAGTTTATGAAATTTCATAAGATAGTCAGTAGTACAAGTAGTGGGGAAGTAGCCTGAAATAAAGCTTATTTTATGCAGGTGAATTGCAATAAAAACAATGGCTAGAAATTGCTTTAAAGATTTTAAGTTTGTTTTCTTAAAGAATAATGCGTAAGTATGTTTCTCTATATATTTATTTACTTAAAAATACTACACTGGAGAATGTCCTTTCAAGAGGCAGTTTCTTTTGTGGGACTGTGCATCTCTTGGATAGTGTAACTTAGCCTGTCCCAACGGTTTCTCAAACTGTCAGAGAAATTGTTTTATTTAACAGGTGATTCAAAAGAAAATACTTGGAAAGTAGATGAAAACATGAGGTATCTTACAAAGTATCTTATAGAGCATGAACCATCATAGTCTCAATAATGATGAACTAAAGATCTGTCACTCTTAGCATTAGTTTTCTCAAGTGGTGTGTATCTGACAAATTCCACTAGGACTAATTGCATTTTTTTTTAAATGTACTTTTGAAAACCACTGTAAATATTGATCATAATTATTAACTGTAATTATTAATTATAAAGATACCTAGTACAGAATTCTACCTCTGTTGCAGATTTCTGCTTGAATATTGAGCAAATAGAGAAGCAGCATTTCCCACCACTGGGCTTCATAGAACAAAATCTGGGATTCATCTGCAAAATCTGCAAATCCACCAGAACCCAGGGAACAGTGCCCAGGAGCTCCTACATTTCCCCATGGCCCCATTAGGTCGGAAATCAATGTACAGTCTCCCCCAGGCTCCCTGCAGATTCGGGTGGACCCATTCAGAGGAGTTTCCAGTGCAGTGGGTTGAAATATAA